AGCGCGGCCCAGCCGCAGTGCCCTGCGTGGGTCTCTGCTCTCCCTCACCTCCTTCCCCCTTGTGTTGAGGCCCATGTGCCCAAATCTAGGGAGGGTGAAAATGTCCCCTCACTGCCTTTGCTAACAGAGAAAATCCTGCCTGTGGTTACAGAGAAAATCCAGCCTGATGCAGTGGTCAATTAAACCCAGCTTTTAATTGCCCCTGATTCTTGGCGCCCACATCAAGAGAAATCCGAACGCTGATCCCTGAGCCTGCCAAGACGCAGAGTGACATACGGTGCCGATGCCCCACCACATGGGGGGATGGCCACCAGGGGAGACATCTCCCCTCCCAGGACTGCCTCTGGTGCCCACATTCAAACCAGAAGGCTGCTTTTTCAAGCGCTGTTTGTGCAGACATCCCTGGGCTTTTCTCCCCCTTCAGATAAATGGTGTGCCAGACAAACAGCCAGGAAGAACAATCTTCATACCAGAGCTTGAAACTCAACCAAAGGGGTGTTCTCCTCACACTTGGTGCCTGGCAGGGGCCAGAGCTGCAGCTCCTGAGGCTGCTCTCACTGAAGGGCCATCGTAGGGATGAAGTGGGCACAGCTACCCTGGGGACAGCCCATGTCTCACTGCTGCAGCCGTGGCAGGGCCGGCCTGGGATGTCCTGGCATCCGCAGGACTCAATTGCCAGGACTGGTTCCCATGGGTGAGCCACAGAGGAAAGCAGCCCTCCAGTGTGGCTGGGGTTGAGCAGCAGGGAAGTTCTGCCAGCTTCTACCCAGGACCAGTCCAGCACTAATCCTACAAAGCCCACAGAGCATCAGAATAAGTGTGAGGAAAAAGACTCCTGGCATCCTCAAAGCTCACTGAAAATGGGTGCAGGGGGGATTGTTTGAAAAGAAGATGCCTGAAGTCCTACCTGTATTACACTTACTTCTGAACACTCACCTTGAGAGAACAATTAGCAAGTGACAGACCCGTGTAACACCAGTTGGAGAACTGAAATAAAATTGCACGCACGGGAAGGGCTCCCTGAACCCTTTCCGTGCTCCATTTAGACGTGAACACCATGCTGCAGCAGAGCAGGGACTGATGGGTTCATCTGCATGTTATTAAGCAGCAGACGAGATCGGAGAACCGGCAGCATCCCAGCTCCAGCCTCTGCCGAGCCGCTGATTCACTGAGTGACGTGCTGGAAAGTGCCGCTTCCCGGGGACTCCAGAGCCAGCTGTAAATGGGGATGAGCAAAGATACAAATCTGACGCAGCAGCTTGGCGTTGTGATTTACTGAGCACATAAATTACAACATCTTGTTAATCATAATTTACTTCCTATTGCAAGAGCATAAAGCAGCAGCAGAGGGGTAAAGGCTGTTAACAGCCGCGAAGCAGGAGAGATGGCTCTGGCAAGCCGAGTAATTGTTCCTCTGCCACGAAAGCACTAGCAGAGGGATTTCTGCCATTTGCGCATCATAAACTCTGAAAGGTCTTCAGATTGCTTGGGGTCTGATCCAGGCTCTATTTAATTTGAGGAGAGGATTCCCACATGTCTCTGCTCTTCCTCCCTGCCACGCACGACATCCATTACCGGTACTGCAGCTTCTTGGGCGTGGGTTTGGTGCCTGTATCCCACTGGCAGTCAATAGGTGTTGGGCACTGAGTAATTCGGGCATCTATAGGAGTTGCTGTCTGTCCCCTTAGGGGCCTAAATACACAAATGGGTTGGAAGAGCCGGAGCTGCACGTCCCCAGACAGCAGATGCATCACCCAGTTGTTGCTACTGCCAGCCATCTCCGTGCTTGGTCTCCACGCTGGTATCTCCAGCCAGGCTCAAGCCAGGCTCTTCCATTTCATTTGTCTTCTGCTGTCTACTGGAGGAACAACAGTTGGCGAAGAGGTCCACACTATCCCCAGGGCAGGCAGACCTCCTGCCAGAGCAGGACCCCAAAAAGACTGCTGCTGGGTGGCTCTTTGCCTGAAGCTTTTTATTACCCATCACTGCCTCCCTCAAGAGAGGCACCTGAACCGTGGCTAAAACTGCATCCCCACCTGAGCCTCAGCTAAGCCTGCACCCCACCTAAACCCCAGCTGCAGCTGCCTGTCCCCAAATCAGTGAAGGAACCACATATTTTGAGGCTAAACGGCTGCGAATAGGTGGCAGCCAGTGCCTGAGGGTCAGCTGGGAGATTCCTGGAGCCTCCCCTGTGCTGCAAGCTCTGACCCTACTTCTAAATTAAAGCAGCAGGAGCTATTGAGCTGCCTGACTTCCCTCTTGCCTTCACCCTCCGACACATCCCAGGGCCATAACTGATACTCTTTAAAAATGTATAAGGTTATTCAGCTCTGCTGCTCCCCAGCTGGGACATACAGACGTGCTGTTAAGCTCCAGCCAGGAGCAAGTCTTTCATGGCCAAGTGACACATCCTTGAAACTCGGTGGCTCTGAGCTGATTGTCCTTCTTGAAGAGCTCCCTCAGAGCTGCTATAGGGCATTTGCAGCCACAGGCGATGGCAGAGGAGGAGACTATTTCCCCAGGGTATTACTGGCATTAGCTGAGCAGCTTTTGCTAGCAGTCTAAGCAAAGTCTTCTCACTCCCTGCTGCAGGTTCACCTCCTTTATGCCTCATCTTGACCATGGAAGCTCTTTTTCCACATCTTCTGCTCTTTGCTTTGCTCAAATGTTGTTTCATTTAGTCATTATGTGGTCTCCAACAAAGCATTTTCTGCCTGTTAGGAGGCTGAGGCAAAAAAAAACAGAAAACCAAGCATGATCAGAGCTCTGCTTTTCTTTCCCCAGAAGCTGAAGAGCAAGACAGCAGATCAGTGGGCAGAAGTATCCAAGAAATTCTCCTGTGGCAATCACACAGCGAGTGGTCTGGCCATGCTGTGAGGATAGCAGTGGTTTTAGCCTGGCCTTGCCAGAAAACAGGGGCTCTGGGGTCCCCTCCCTGCAGCGTTCAGGGCTCCTGGCTCACACCTCATCAGCCACAGGGCAGGGGCAAAAGACTGGGTGCTGGATTTGGCCCAGCGCTGGTCCACAGCAGTTTGCCTGGTCCCAGCTTCTCCTCCACCAGTCCCCTTCCTGGCATCACTTGCTGCCTTGTACCCCAAGTGGCCACTGCCTTTCCCCCCCCCCGGCTTTTCGTACAGGTTTATACTTTGCTCAAAAATTAAGAAGGTCAGAAGAAAAACCTGAAACACAAATGGTTTAGTTTGAAACCAGAGAAATGATGGCTTCTTCAAGGAGCATTGCTCACCTCTGCCATCAGCCTGTCCCCCCAGGTCCTGCACACCTGCCTGGTGTCCTGTG